CAGGGCAGAAAGGTGACGACTGCAAAAAGCAAACCACATTTGTTAGCAGTCCATGGTAAGAATATTTTATTGTTTAGCTTAAAGTAGCACGTCATGGTTTAATCATAATTTGCTGCATTGTGAAATACAGCCATTTTTTGTTTCTTATTTCAGAAGACAGTTAATTGGATTTTGCACAAATCATGCTTATTAACTCTGTTATTTAAATGTTGTCAACATTGTATGTTTAGTAATTATTCAATATTAAGTTTTGTGCTGTTTATTATCAACCCCAAGTTAGGCAAAATTTAAATGAAATTGTAATTATAATAAATGCATAAAAATAAATAAGTATTTTTTAGTCTTTAAACTATTTTAAAATTATGTAAAGGACCATTATAAAATACAATGTACGTTGTCAATATAAAACATTTTATAAATAAATTATCATATTGTATATCATTATAAAGGATCACAGCCAACAATCCTTCTGCAGCAAGATCCATCACACCCAGTGATATACACGGGAGAACAAGTCAAACTCACTTGTAGCATTCAAGAAAAGACTTCAAAATGGCAATATCTTTGGCAAAAAGATTCACAGCAAGTAAACACAGACAACAATCCCATTTACACTATTAAAAATGCTACATGCTCTCAAAAAGGGGAATACACTTGCCAAGTAAGAAGGGGAGAGATGACATATGCAAAGTCTACAATATTGACAATAAGAGGTAAGATACATATTTTGATGCATTTTTACATAACCAGGAACAATTTTAGAAAAAATTAATTTCTGTTATGCTGTTTATCTGTGCAGAGCCACCTAAACCAAAACTGTCAATAGCGCCTGAATGGAATATGTTTTACCCAACTGAGAAAGTGACTCTGAAGTGTTCAGTTGATGAAGAGTCAAATAAATGGGTCTATGAATGGTTTAAAAACGGAACTCGGCTTCTCAAGGATAAAGACACTTCCTTTTCCAGAAACATGCTCTCCATCAGATCAGCAAAAGCGGGTCATTCAGGACAGTACACCTGCAGAGGAAAACATCTGATGAGAACATCGGTGACTACAAGAGAAATGGAAGCTGTGCAACTTCATATTAAAGGCAAAGAAAACCTGCTTTTGAAAACATGATATTCTATGATTGATACACAGGAAAGAAATAATGACAGGCACCTTAAAGTTCAGTTTAATGAAGAAGTTGTTTATAGTTTATAATGTGTTTTCATTTGCATTGTCCTGTATCATTGTACAGTGGTTCATGTCAGCATTTACAGTTCCCTTTCAGTCAGTCAAGTTCGACGTTACGTCAGAACGACTGATAAATTGTGATCTCACTCGAGAGCCCAATCACCTTCGAGTGTAACAAAACAAGCCACTAAATGTTGGCGTGAGATCTTTGCATCGCAGAGTGGCTATATAAGGAAGAGCGTGTGCACACGCACATTCAACTTTTCGCTTCAGAGCTGAGCCTTTCTGCTTGGGAATCACCGAAGAGTTTACAGACAGCTTTCCGTGTTAGATTTCAATGGAAGCCTCCTCCATCGCCTGAATTATCCAGGCTGGATGATTGGTTCCTTGGTGTGCCTCAATCTGATCCTTGGCGCCCACCCCTGGTCCCATTCTTCCCAGAGGTGCGTGAAGAGGTTACTAGATATTGGAAGGCACCTTTTTCTGCCAGAAACAGAGCTAGTGCCTCTTTCATCCTCACTACCCTCGATGGCGGGGAGGCTAAGGGGTATGTGGAGATCACCCCAGTTGAGTGTACTGTTGCACTGCAGCTCTGCCCGCAAACCATCCAGGGCCTGTAAGTTCTCATCCACACTAGCTGCACCCCATGGCCCTCCTGCAGGTCTACTAGGCCAAGGCATTGAAGCAGCTGCACGAGGGTAGTTCGGCCCCAGGCGTTATGCAGGAGCTGCGTACGGTGACGGACCTTGCACTATGGGCAACGAAAGTCACTGCGCGGTCCCTGGGTCAGACGATTTCCACCTTGGTGGTCCAGGAATGCCACCTTTGGATTAACCTGGCGGATATGAGGGAGTCCAACAAATATAGATTCCTCGACTCTCCATTCTCCCAGGTTGGCCTGTTCTGTGACGCGGTGGAGAACTTTGCCCAGCAGTTCTCCTCTGCACAGAAGCAGACAGAGGTTATTAAGCCGCTGCTGTTTCCACCCCACCGCCGGCCGCAGCCCCTCTGCCTGCTCATCGACGAGGCCGCCCCCTGCTGCCTCTGCTTCCGCTCCAGCTTAGCCTCAGCAGCAGCCTCCATCCCGGCCGCAGCATGGAGCTGGCGGCAGGAAAGCGGCGGAGCCCATCTCTGCCCCTGCCAGGCCCGTAATGCCTAGTTCACACAACAGGATAAGTTAACAAGCTCGCCGACAGGTCAGGCTGTGATCAGGGGAAAATCAGCGGGTAATCAGCGCTCAGCAATCTTTATGTGTGAACTACCATTCAACTTCTTGCGTGTGTTTTTCTTGACAAAACGTGGTTTGGGGACAGGATAGAGTCATTGGGTGACAGAGTTGTTGTCAGCTCATGTAGTGTGTGACCCCCT